TCCGTCCTCCCTCCCTCTCCCCTCCCCCCCCCCCCCCGCCAGAGCGACGATTCGGACATCTGGGATGACACCGCCCTGATAAAGGCGTACGATAGAGCGGTGGCGTCATTTAAGGTAATGCGGCTCTCCCGCGCTGTGCTAGCAGCCGTTCCACCAGAACCCCCATGATGCGTTTCCCCTGCTCCAAAAACTTCTTACCTTTGCGCTGTATGGCCCAGAGCCTGCGGGGAATCTCGCGGGGGCAGCTCCCACTCCCCCCGTCTAGGGTTGGTTGCCAACTTTCTAATGGCACAAACAAAACCAAACACCTTTACCACGGCCCCCTCGCTCCATGCCCGCTCCCTCTTTTACTCGGTCTTCTCCACCCTCACTCATTCACCCGGCTGGGGGTGCGGGCTCTGCAATGGGGTTGCGGATGTGGGGTTGAGGGGGCAGGGGTTGGGGTGTGGGCTCCAGAAGGGTGTTTGGGTGTGGGAGGGGACTTGGGTGTGTGAGAGGGGTCAGGGTGCAGGGTCCTGGCGGTGCTTACTGTGGTTCCCAGGCCCTGTGGCCCCTAGGTGCATGGGCGGTTCCGTGTGCTGCCCTCGCACCCACAGGCACAGCTTCCGTTGGTTGCGGTTCCTGGCCAATGGGAGCTGCGGAGCCAGCGCTGGGGGTGGGGGCAGCATGCGGAGCCTCCCTGGTCACCCATGTGCCTAGGGGCCACAGGACCTAGTGGCCGCTTCTGGGACTGGCACGAAGCCAGAGCAGGCAGGGAGCCTACCTTAGCCCTGGCCTCTGATGCCCGAACTTTTAACAGCCCGGTTGGTGGTGCCGCCAGGGTCCCTTTTTGACTGGGCATTACACTTGAAAACCGGATGCCTGGCAACCCTATGTGTCGGGGGGGGGGGGGGGGCCTCCATGCAGGATCGGGGCCAAAGGGTCCTCTACAGTTCCCAAAATTGTATGGAGGGCCGGTTAGGGGAGGCTGTGCCTCCCCAAACAGCCAGGCGTGGCCTGCCCCCTATCCGACCCCACCTGCTTCTTGCCCCCTGATGGCCCCCCTGGGAGTCCTGCCCCATCCAACACCCCAGATCCCTGTCCCCTGACAGCCCCTGGAACCCCCGCCCCTGACTGCCCCCCGCCACCCCATCGAACCCCTCCTCTCCTGGGGACCCCTGCCCCCATTCACCCCCCCCATTCCCTGCCCTCTGACCACCCCAACCCCTATCCACACCCCCGACCACTGCCCTGAACTCCTGTGCCCTCTATCCAACCCAACACCACCACCACCACCCCTCACTTCCTTACTGCGCTGCCTGGAGCACTGGTGGTGCTACAGCCAGGGTGCCCGGCTGGAGCCAGCCAAGCCACAGTGCAGCACAGAGCACTAGGTCAGGCCCTGGCTCTGCAGCTGCGCTCCCCCAGGAGCTTGCAGCCCTGCCATCCAGAGCATTGCGCTGGCGGCAGGACAAGCTGAGGCTGCAGGGGAGGGGCCGGGGGCTAGCCTCCTGGGGCAGGAGCTCAGGGGCCAGGCAGGAGGGTCCCGCGGGCCGTAGTTTGCCCACCTCTGGCTTAGGTGTATGAAAAATTCACATTTCGGCACTATAGCTGCACCAGCCTAATTCCTGGCATAGACATGGCTGGGTTGCTAGAAGAATGCTTCTGTTCACGGAGTAACCACCACTTGAGGAGGTTGATTATCCACAGTGATGGAAAAACCCTTTCCCAGTTGCTGTAGGAAGCGTCTACACGACACCACTACAGCGGCACAGCTATACCGCCATAGCTGTGCTGCTGAAGCACCCATAGTGTAGAGAAGTCTATCTCGTTAAGAATATTCTTTCAAAAGTAGAATTGTAGAAAACTGCTCATAGGAGTGCAAATATCACATTGGGCTAAAATCTGTCTTATAGACACACATCTAAGTTTAGTGGACCTTTTTACAACAACATGAAATATAGACAAAATAAATACATGCACCCTTACCATTATGCCATTTATCAGAACTGGAGAAATTTGCTATCTGCATCCTCTATTTAGCTCTGGATGCTATTGTGATGGGGGATGGGAGTACACGTCATAGTTGAGATGTTGGGATATAATTCATAGAATCTTTTTTTTTCTTTTATAGAATGCTCTAAAGAATGGTGAGTGTTCAGAGCCTTCAGACAAACAAGAACAATGCTCAGGGACAAAGAGAAAAAATAATAAAAAGAACAGAAGTAGGAAGAAAAGCAACGCAGCACCATTGAAGCAGGTCATCTTAAAAACTGAATACCAAAACTAAATGTTGTTAATTTTTGTATTGCACGTATTCCTAGTCAGTTTTAAAACATAAGGTTTATTTGGTTATCAAGGCAAGATTTTAGTTATTGACCTCAATGAGATTGTAAATAAGATTTATAAATTCTTGCTCTGCTGGGGCCACTTTAGAAACAGATTAATTGGATACAAAGAATAATCTAGTGAGGAGAGGCACATCAGGCAGTATTTAGTTCAAAAGTTTGTATGCATAGTAGATGGATATGTTAACATTTAGATGTTTGAAACACTTGAGGATGAGAAAAGTTACATTTGGAGAAAACATTTTTCAAGGATCACAAATATAGCTGTTGATTTGACTTTCTTGCTTTTGTTGCAGTGGAGAGTTGGTGATGCCTGTAATGCAGTTTGGTCTGAGGATGGTAATGTGTACCTGGCAACTATTGCCTCGATCAATCAGAAGAGAGGAACCTGTGTTGCTGTTTACACTGGGTACGGAAATAGGGAAGAGCACAATCTATCTGATCTACTTCTTCCCAACACGGTTGAAAAAGAAAATGAGGAGCAGAATGCCGGGGAGGTGAGACGGCAAATATAAACAATTACTATTCTACTAAAAATAAGCAAAATCTTTTAACTTTTGTTCTATTACTGTTGCCCTTGTAGAACTGCAGGAGGAGAAGAGTATGTGAACCAAAAGTGATCCTTCGTATAAATGGTCATGAATCTATTGAAAGTAAGGGTATATGGTGCCTGTTTGGTAGTGTGGCCTCATGGACTGGGCATTGGACTGAGACTCTGGAGACCTGACTTCAATTCCCAGCTCTGCCACTCCTTTGCTGGGTGACCTTGGGCTAGTGGCTTTCTTTCCTGGACTTAATTTTTTCGTCTGTAAAATGGGGATAGTGATACTAACCTTTTTTGTAGAGTACAGTAACTCCTTGCTTAACGTAGTAGTTATGTTCCTGAAAAATGCTACTTTAAGCAAAATGATGTTAAGCGAATCCAATTTCCACATAAGAATTAATGTAAATGCGGGGGGTTAGGTTCCAGGGAAAAATTTTTTGCCAGACAAAAGACTGTGTGTGTGTACACACACATACACAGTATAAGTTTTAAACAAACAGTTGAATACTGTACATAGCAATGATCATTGCTGTGAAGCTTGGTTGAGGTGGTGAAGTCAGAGAGTCCCAGGGAATGCCTTACTGCTAAATGTTGAACTAGCACTCTGCTGAGCCCTCAAGGGTGAATACATTGCTATTGTAGCGTGTAAGGCTACATTAACAAGGCAGCACGAATGGAGGGAGGGGAGATGGCATGGCAGAGAGAGACGAAGACACACACCGTGTGTGTGTGTGTGTGTGTGTGTGAGAGAGAGAGACGCACATTGCCCCTTTAAGTACACTGACCCCACTCTAAGTACATTGCCTTTTTAAGTAGATCAGCAAGTTGAGACAGCAGCTGCTGCCAGCAAGCTCCCTCCATCCTGAGCCCTGTCGTGTCCCCCCATGCTCTATGGAGATGGGGGGCAGGAGCGGGAGGAAGGGAACACGCTGACATTAGCACCACTCCTCTCCGCCGCCCACCTTGCACAGGAAGCAGGAGGCTCCCGGGAGCAGCTCCAAGGCAGAGGGCAGGAGCAGCACATGGCAGTGGGGGGAGGGACAGCTGAACTGGCTGGCAATTGATAGCCTGCTGGGAGGCTGTTGCACAGGGAACTTAAGGGAGCAGGGAACTGATAGGGGGGGCTGCAGGTCCAACCTGGTTCCAAGCCCCCACCAGCTAGCTCCAATGGGCTGCTCTTTCTGCAAGGAGTGGACAAAGCAGGCAGCTGCCAAACAACGTTTTATAAGGGAGCATTGCACAACTTTAAATGAGCATGTTCTCTAATTGATCAGCAACGTAACAACGTTAACTGGGACAACTTTAAGTGAGGAGTTACTGTATTCTGAGAGCTTTGGATGAAAAGTGTTTTAGAAGTGCTGAGTAGTAGTAGCATTACTATTACCATACCATGACTGTATATGGCCCTATGATTCTTGCATAAAACTATAATTCTCACCTGCAGGATTGCTGCAAAACCCTGCTTTTCCTTAATGATTCACTTAATAATCATTTAATGAAGGGAGATGTTGTCTTTCCAGACACACATCAATATACTGTTTCAGTTACTAATCAGCAGTGTTGGACATCAAGAAGTTTTGCTAGGGGGGTACTAGACATGTCAGGACTGAAACAGTTGTCTTTTTTTCTCTGTACACTGCAGACTTTTGGCCCTTTCTACAAGAAAACATAAACAATCTACTATTTTTGCTGATGCTGGACTCAGTGTTAAATGTGGAGGATTTCATATGAGATTAGAGAGTGATCTTTTTGTGTGTGTATGTGCTAAGAAATAGCCCCGGCATTAAAATGTCTTAAAGTCACTTTCTGAATTTTAGATGACCAAAATTCATCTTCCCAAGATGTATATGAAACTAGAAAAAGGTGGTAAGAGTGGGAGAACTGGACAGTTGGGTTGTTAAGGCTGACAACTGGTGGCAGTGCTGGGGATGAGGGAGCAATGCAACAAGCAAGTAACAGGACCAGATGGTATTCACCCAAGAGTTCTGAAGGAACTCGGATGTGAAATTACAGAACTACTAACTGTAGTCTGTAACCTGTCATTTAAATCCGCTTCTGTACCAAATGACTGGAGGATAGCTAATGTAATGCCAATTTTTAAAAAGGGCTCCAGAGGTGATCCCAGCAATTACAGGCTGGTAAGCCTGACTTCAGTACCAGGCAAACTGGTTGAAATTATAGTATAAACTAAAGAATAAAATGGTCGGACATGTAGATGAGCATAATTTGTTGGGGAAAAGTCAACATGGCTTCTGTAAAGGGAAATCCTACCTCACCAACCTACTAGGATTCTTTGAGGGGGTCAACAAGCATGTGGACAAAGGGGATCCAGTGGGTATAGTGTACTTAGATTTTCAGAAAGCCTTTGACAAGGTCCCTCACCAAAGGCTCTTAAGCAAAGTAAGCAGTCATAAGATAAGAATGAAGGTCCTCTCATGGATTCGTAACTGGTTAAAAGATCAGTTTTCAGAATGGAGAGAGGTAAATAGTGCCCCCCAGGGGTCTGGACTGGGCCCAGTCCTTTTCAATATATTCATATATGATCTGGAAAAAGGGGTAAACAGTGAGGTGGCAAAATTTGCAGATGCAAAACTACTCAAGATAGTTAAGTCCCAGGCAGACTGTGAAGAGCTACAAAAGGATCTCTCAAAACTGGGTGACTGGGCAACAAAATGGCAGATGAAATTCAATGTTGATAAATGCAAAGTAATGCACATTGGAAAACATAATCTCAGCTATCCATATAAAATGATGGGGTCTAAATTAGCTGTTACCACTCAAGAAAGAGATCTTGGAGTTATTGTGAATAGTTCTGTGAAAATATCCACTCGTGCAGCGCCAATCGAAAAAGCAAACAGAATGATGGAAATCATTAAGAAAGGGATAGATAATAAGACAGAAAATATCATATTGCCGCTATATAAATCCATAGTACACCCACAGCTTGAATACTATGTGCAGATGTGATCGCCCCATCTCAAAAAAGATATATTGGAAAAGATTCAGAAAAGGCAACAAAAATTATTAGGGGTATGGAACAGCTGCCAAGGAGAGATTAATAAGACTGGGACTTTTCAGCTAGAAAAAGAGATGACTAAGGGGTGATATGATAGAGGTCTATTAAATCATGATTGGTGTGGAGAAAGTACAGAAGGGAGTGTTATTTACCCCTCCTCATAACACACGAACTAGGGGTCACAAAATGAAATTAATAGGCATCAGGTTTAAAGCAAACAAAAGGAAGTATTTTTTCACACAACGCACAGTCAACCTGTGGAACTCCTTGCCAGAGGATGTTGTGAAGGCCAGGACTAACAAAATAACTAGATAAATTCAATAACTAGATAAATTCATGGAGGATAGGTTCATCAATGGTTGTTAGCCAAGATGGATAGGGATGGTTTCCCTAGCCTCTGTTTGCCAGAAGCTAGGAATGGACGACGGGATGAATCTCTTGATGATTAGCTGTTCTGTTCATTCCCTCTGGGACACTTGGCATTGGCCACTGTTGGAAGACAGGATACAGAGTTAGATGGATCTTTGGTCTAGGGGTGACCAGATGTCCAGATTTTATAGGGACAGTCCCGATATTTGGGACTTTATCTTGTATAGGTGCCTATTTACCCCCACCCTTGTCCCGATTTTTCACACTTGCTGTCTGGTCACTCTCCTTTGGTCTGACCCAGTATGGCCGTTCTTAAGGAATGAGCAAATAATTAGGGGAGGAGCAGAACTGTAAAGGGCCTTGGATGTGAAGACAAGAAGATTGAACTTGATGTGGTAGAAAGGGAGGAGACAGTGGATTCAAAAAGAGAAGGGATTATATGGTCAAAATGAAAGAACAGGAAGATGATCTTAGCAGGTGCATTTTTGAATCAGCAGGGGCAGAGTATAGGAAGGTGCAAAAATCAAGATGGAGGATGAGGATGTGGACAAGACTTTCCTAGTGAAAAGTTTCATACTGAATTTGGTTTAACATTTGCTCTAGACACATGGGAGGTGTAACCTGGGAACATGTCTACCAGAGTTTTAATTAAAAATACAATTTTCCTTCTAGAATGAAAATGAAACTCAGTATTCAACAGATGAAAGTGAAAAGTGCTCCCAATCACCTGGAAACAAATACAACTCTACCAAATTAAAATCCTCTCACTGGAACTCCCATTTTCCACCTCCTCCACCACCAGGCCTGGAAAGGGTAAGCATAGCCCTAGCTGTGATAGTGGACTGAAGCAGAGCAGGATCTTCAGACATGATTTATTTCACAGCTTTGAGAAAATAATGTATTTACCACTCTTCTAGATGTTAAATTCCAACATTGGCATGGTGTTAAGCTCTTACAACAACTCTTGAACTTTAATGTATATCCCTGTGGTAAACCGTAGGAGTGAAATCCAGACACCCTGGTAGTCGGAGTTTTCCCATTGACTTCTTTGGGGTCAAATTGTCACCCTATGTATTTACAATCTAGAATAGATTCTATATGAAATGCAATTGAAATAAAAACAATTGGCTTTATTTTAGGAACATTGCAATATAAGTGGAAGATGACCAGAAAATTTCATATGTGAAGAACTAGCATAAATTAAGATAAGAGCCTATCATTTCATCTTTAAATACGAGCATAGACACAGTGTGATTGTAATAAAAATGTGTGGTATGGTAAATTTAGTATTCAAAAACAGAGTGAACTTAGCTTGTATCCTAGACCAGATATGATCAGTTATATCTTGGATAGAGGAATATTAGATGTAATGAACAGTTTTTTAATGTCAGCACCCAACTTCAGATTCCCTTTAAAAGGCGTTTTAAAAATTACTACTATTAAAACGTCAAGCCTGTCTTTTTGTGATATCTATAAAGAAAGTCACTGTCTCTTTTTGCTAGGCTTGCTGATGCTCACATCAGAGAATACTGGCAAGAATCATTTATAGCTGGCCCATTTTCCTATACTGTTGATTCATTAAGTCATTGGGACTTGCTACCTTTGCTTGAGCAATTTTGTGATCTGTTGCATAATAATATTTTAAGGCAGAAGGTTTCTTTCCCCTTTTTAATTCCAAATTTTGTTTCATATTCAATTATTTCACTGTAGCCTGGACCAAAATTTAGTGGACCACCACCCTTCTTATCAAGCTGCCTCCCACCATTCCCAACAGGACCACCGGTAAGTGGTATATGGAAAATAGTGATTAAAGGCAAATATTTGTGATCTCCACTTTTCTAACTGACTTTCTTGGTCACCTGTATGCACATACCCGCTTTTAAATTGAAATGAATACCTATTCAGTACTGCGTATGTGCCCAGTAGCAGTGTTCCAGTTAAGCCCATCTTAATGTTCCAATTATAAATTTCCTCCCAGCTTCTGGGGTTTGTATTCAGGATCACAGGGAGTAAATTTCTATTCTGGAGTTTACAAGGATAGAAGGATTAAGATCTGTTATAAGATCTTATACAGAATTTTTGTACTGGTGTAACTATTTCAGTTAGACGTCGACTTTTTTTACTGAAATAGTTATACTGATATTGTAGAATAAGTAACTTTAATTCTTTAATTTTATACTTATCTTAAGTTTGGTAAAGGAAATGTTTATGTTGCAAAGAAAGGCCCTGAATAGCAAGTAGAAGGAAGGCCTTGAAAATAATAAGTGGTAAGGCCAGAAGGAATAAAGTATTGAGGATGTCTGGTTCAATGAATAGCTAATAATATTAGGGAAACTTTCTAAAAAGAAGGTGTCTGACTGAGAGGGGTGACTACAGATGGTTTTAAATTAAAAAAAAAAAGTGTCTTAAAATGAGCCAACATAGCCCTTCCCCAACCCACACACCAGTGTTAAAGCCCATGTGAACCCAGGTGCAATGGGAAAACTACTGGACAGCAAGGAGGAGAGGTGGAAAACTCTTGGGAAGAAAGGAGTTTGTAAATCTTACTTGATTAAGACAAAATAAGGGTGAATTGTCTCAGATTGGTCTTTAACAAACAAGTGATGTCATTGCCAATTACCAACTTCAGTTAAAGTGTATAAAAAAGTAAACTCTTAACAATGAACTCTTTAATATCTGCCTATTTTGGAGCTGACCAATATGGGTCTGAGTACCCTGGGTTTAGCCCATTTGTAAGTATCTTGCTCAAATGCTTATAATGTTTTGTTACTGTTTTGGATGTAATAAATTGCTTATTAGTTAGGCTTTTTAGGCATGTTTAGAGCAACTACATATAGTGGCATTTGGCCTGTGGATTTAATAAAGGAGTTCATGGTTAAATTGGTGTTTGTTGAATTCCCATATTAATTCAACACTTTATTAATAATTCCAACAGATACTAAGTTCCCTTATACTGACGCATCTTATTTCCCTTCCCTTATGGGAATAATGATACTAATACAACTGCATCTGCATTAGTGTATTTATAGTGTTTTAACTGTATGGGTATAGTCAAAGCTTTTGTATGTAGAAAAGCCCTGAGTGTGTTATGAATTTTGGAAAATTAAGTTTTTTTTTTTTTTTTCCCCTTTTCTCTCTCAGTGGATACGCTGATCATAGGAGCTAAATACAGAGGAGTGGTACATGTGCCTTTGTAAATAAGGTGTTTAAGCAAATACAAACTATCTAATTTCGAAGCGTGTGCAAGAATGCATTTCTATTCTTTCATTTATTTGTCAATTTCAGAGTTGGTTGTTGTCATTCACTTCCCCTGCCTGTAAGATAAACACCAATTAAATAAAGCCAGTTCACAGTGTTTTGTTGCAATCTCCTAGTTGATTCCTCCTCCACCACCCATGGGTCCAGATTCTCCTGAAGATGAGGAAGCTTTGGGAAGTATGTTAATAGCCTGGTATATGAGTGGTTATCACACCGGCTACTATCTGGTAAGTGACTCCTGTTGAAATGTTGCATGTGTAGTCTAGCTTTGGGTTCTACTGTTGTTTAAGAAAAGTAGGTGTTTCTTTTTCTCTATGGAGCTTTTACTCTAATTTATGAGAACCTAGCTTGTAAGGCATTCTGTTTAAGTGTTCCCGTCTCTCTGTGAGCAAAAGCAGATCAGTCCACTTAACTAATGAGAACTTGCTATGTTTTACATTTGCACATTTAAATATATTATAATTTGAGATCAACAGTTGCAGCTTTCCAGTCCAGTGGAGTCTCCTAGCATGCACAGTTTGTCATAATGGAAGAAGAGATTGAGTGGTTGGAGTAAATCTGGACTTGTTCACTATTTAGTTCTGTGAAGACTTTTATTTTCTAACTACTACTAGATAATTTATTCTCTAACCCTCCTCTTCCCCCTCCCAATCAACATACTTCATTACTGACCTGTGGGAAGTGTGGGTTTGTGGTACATGGATAGCTCATGCTGGAACGCCACACTGATGAAAAATCCATGGTTGTGGAGGGCTGCTTTTTGCATAATTGCAAAGGAAGAAAAAAAATGTAGAAAGGATTTGACTTTTCAAGCTTTGATAATTAATTCTTGTTAATATTCAAATGTGGACTGAAGTCTAAACAAACAGAATTTGGGAATTGGCACTTTCGGTTTCCATTATTTACTTTTGGTTTAACAGCAAAAATTTCTCAAGCTGTTCGGCAGGGACACAGATCAAGACAATAGCAAATAGTTAAGTTTTAGTTCCTGATCTCAATATAATATATGTTGGTTGTTTGTCTTCAGTCTGTAATCTATAAAGAACCAAATCTGCTTTCCATAAGAGAGATTAGAAGGATTTGGCCCAAAATATTTTACCATGATGAGCAAAGCTTCATTTTTATTTTGTCTTCACATTTGAATAACAAACTCTTGCTATCCTGTGTCCCATAGGGTTTAAAACAGAGCCGAATGGAAGCTGCCTTGGAGAGATGTCCTCACCCTAAATAATTGAATATCACTTACTATCTTGAGCAATTGTAAGTATTGTATTTGTGCTTAAAGTTTAATGTTGCAATCAGTGGGAATTGCAGCTTGCATCCTAGCTGTGGAGAGTGTCCCTTTAAAGAAAAGGGCAACTTTGGGTTCCAAGACCTCTAGTCATCTTGGCCATCAGTGAAGAAAATCTCTGGCACTGTCAAAATGTAGCAAGTGACTTGCCACCAGACATAGTGGGTGAGAGCTGGAATAGGCTCTTACAGTACTTTCCAAGGTGGGATTTGTGATTGAGAAATCAATGTGGCTGCTTTTACTAAAAATTAATTTAAGTCCATGTTGTTGATGACTTCCACTATGATTTGAAGGGCTGCTAACTTAATCAGTCCTGGAAACAGAAGACCTGTTGAGTTTGTGATCAAATCTGACTTTTGTGACACTACACACATTTTTAGAAACAATTGCTTGCTTAAACATGTAGAGTAGGAGAGATTGTGCTTGAGTTTGGTTTTCAAGACAGGACTAACATCTAGCTCAGTTCGAGTTTTTCTGTCCTGTTGTGTGTGGTTTTTTATTTTATTTTATTCCCTCCCCCCTTATTGCTGAGTATCTGCACTTTGGTTTGAAATAACTTTTTGCTTAAGGGAGATCCTAAGTATTAATCACTTTATTGCCGTGCAAAACATGTACTCTGCCATCTGTTCCTTTTTACTTGTTTCTCTGACAGACTTGTCTGTAAAGGGCAAGTAGGATTTATAGTGACTTGCAGGTGATACTTGTTTAAAAAAATTAGTATGTGCATGCACCTATACAATAATAGTTGTTTCTCTTTTAAGCCAGGTACAAATATCCCTGGGAGAGATGTCACTTGTACATTGGGTGATATGAAGATCTGATTTTTTTTAAATCACGAAGACTAACTGGGCTTAACTTAACCCTTGCATTTTCATAGTGAACTGAATTAATTAGTGCAACAACAGACTTAAGAATGTATGAATGTCTATTTTGCTACTTTAAAGGCAACCAGCCTTTAAAGCATTGCAGTAATAAAATGACACCTGCCCCATTAAAAGCTAATATTATGGATTTTAAAAATACTGTACAGATCCCTTTCAAAACAAGTGGTTGTTATATACATGTTGATCTCTCTGCATTGTTGTAGCATCTTACATTTTTAAATTTGTAATTTGAATTATAATCCCAAGTAATTTTGATCAGAACTGAGAAGTACAAAATATTTAACCTAGATACAAATAGGCAGTGATGTACGTAATTGTGACTGTTGGTGGGAGTTAGTGACATAGAAAATGTTAAACGTTAAATATCCTATGAGTAGGATCAGAACCTTGAACATAAAGCAGATGAGCTGGGGAAGGCTCACTTATGAGTTGTTGTTATACTATTTTGCATGTTTGTAAATAAAACTTATTCAAACTTTGAATTTGCTTTTTTAAACTTAAACAAATTTTGCTTCTTAAATGTTTTGGGTTTTTTATGTTTTAGATGGCATATGTATAAAGGAAAGACATACCATCTAGATCAGGGGTAGGTAACCTATAGCACATGTGCCAAAGGCAGCACATGAGCTGATTTTCAGTGGCACTGGTCTGGGAGGCTTTGCATTTTAATTTTAAATGAAACTTCTTAAACATTTGAAAAATCTTATTTACTTTACATACAACAATAGTTTAGTTATATTATAGACTTATAGAAAGACCTTCTAAAAATGTTAATGTGTTACTGGCACGCAAAACCTTAAATCAGAGAATAAATGATGACTCAGCACACCACTTCTGAAAGGTTGCTGACCCCTGATCTAGATCATAACAGTCCCCTGTGCCCTGCTCTGTCTGGCCACTGCCTTCTCACCTGGCCCGACTGAGGAGTGCCCTCTCTTCTGGTGCCACAGCCACCCCTGGTGGGTGAAAGGTATAACTGCAGCAGAATCTATGTTCTGCAAAGGAAACAAAATTTTGCTGGGGGGGGAACATGTATTCTGCCTCTGCACAGGGGTGCAGAATTCTCACATGAGTAGCATGTACTCCCCTTCGTTTGCAACGTGTTAGAGGCCTAACAAAATGTAGTCATTCAGAGTAGATGGTGTAGCTACTTGTAACACACTCCTTTCTTACATGTTTGGAGTAGTGAAATGTTTAAAATGTCACTTAACTGTCAGTAACCAACTCTGCTCCCACTTCTTGGGCAAATGTATTGCCTTCCTTTGATTTGCCAAGGTTATAATTACATCATTCTGTTGCTGATATAAGAAGGAAGATAATTCAGATCCTCTTTCAAAGTATTGTAACATTGCAATGCTAAAAAATGAAAAGCACTAAAAAACAGAATTGCTAAGAGTGCTTTCTGCGTAATCATATACAGTAAGACTTACAATGAATCACAGGCTTAAAAGGTGCCTTCTCTTTTTAACCCTCATTTATTTCCTTTAGTTTAGATGTAACATCTTACACTGACAAAAAGGCTGCAGCTCACATTTCTGAGAATAAGGGAGGTCACTTAATTAAAATGTACTGCCTATTTTTTTCCACATCAGTCACTTACATTTTCCCCCCCTTCTATTAGTTTTATAAACAAGTTTTTAAATGTTAAGCAAAACTTTTACAGTCCATATTGACTAATACATCTATTGAAACATCAAAATGACTTGTCATTGGACCAATTCAAAACTACTCATTTTTCATGGTTTGATTTCAACCTGGGAGGACATGTTAAGTGAGATCCTTGAACAGTCTGGTCCATCTTACTATTTTCTAATGAATTGGTTGGAGTGGAGAGTATGCTTATAAAATTTGTGGCTGATGCTAAACTGGGAATGGTTGCAAGCACATTTAGTCTAAACTAAATAGACTTGATAACTCTTCAAATACATAAAAGGTTGTTTTGTATATAAGATCAATTATTCCCTCATATCCACCAAGGGTAGGAGAAGTAGTAATCCGCTTAGTTTGCAGCAAAGGAGATTTAGGTTGGATATTATTCTAACTATAAGAATAGTTAAGCTCTGGCACAGGTTACTTAGGAAGGTTGTGGAATACCCCTTCTTGGAGGTTTTTGAGAACAGGTTAGACAAAAGTGTCAGGTATACTTAACTCTGCCTCAAGATGAGAAGATGGACTAGATGACTATTTGATGTCCCTTCCAGCCCCACATTTTTCTGTTTGATTTAGAAAGTTTATCCTGCTGGTCTGTCACAAAGTACTTGGATAAGTTCTTCTAATAAGCATGTTTTTCTATCCTGGGGATAGATTTTTTTTCTACAGTAATTTAAAAATATTTTAAGTATAAAAATATTTAAGATGTTCGGGTTTTTTTAACAAGTTATGAAACAAACATGAATCACTGGTTTAGCATACAAATCCATTTTTATCACTTTTCCACACACAGATTTACACTTTTATTTAGAATGACTCTTGAATAAGTCAAAGATTTACAAAACAAGTGAGGAAAATACATCAGATGTAGATATTTTTATAAACATTAACCATTAGAATTTAAATATTCCAATTCTATACATTAACTAAAAGTTGTGTTTGTTCCCCTAGCAAATCTTCATTGTTACTGCATTCACCTAGGTATTTCTTCTAATTTGACTCTTTGTGCAAGAATGAAACCGGTAGGACAATCTCTATGAACACCTGGTATCATATGCATGGAGGAGCAGGATGCTTGTGAATGCAGCCAGGACAGCAGTGCAGAGAATCATGAACAAATAAGTCACATTCCACACAAAATACATTCTGGCAGACTTTACAAATGTAAACCTGAGTGAAAAGGTTAAAAAAATTAAGTTAAATTTTCAATTACAGTAATGCAATAGATTACTGTAAAACTTTATTTTGCATATTTACATCATAAGATTCCTACCAAATTAAAGTTTCCAATCTGAAAATTTTTCAGGCTAAATATAACTTTTAGATTCAATCAGAATAAACTATAAATTTTGTTTCTTATTAAACTAATTGCCCAAATTCTCATCCTTAAAAACCCCATAGTTGTAATAACTTGGGAATCCTATGGGTACTGCAGCTGATACTTTTTTAAAACATAAGTAAAGGTTACATTAAAGAGTTCTACAAATAAGCATCTTGTCTGACAAAGCTCATTTTTCTCTAATCTAACTACACGTTAGACTTCCACCATCCTTATACCCAGAGGTGGGACTCATTCTTAGCCCTGTCAACTTTTTGAGCGAGGGCAGCAGCACACCTGACAGTCTCTGGACACTCCTTACCTCAAGTGTGCTGCTTTTGCAGTCTAAAAAGAGAGAACCCAGGACTGAGAATTCAATCTAGCCAACATGATGGTCTCCATACGGGAATTTTTGTTTTGTCATCAAGATGACCTTCACAAAGATTAATTACATTAAGATGCAGTGTGCAAATTACATTACATTTTAATAACTTACATGTTGATCTTTAATCTCCCCTTGGCAGCCTTGACAATAGCTATGAAACAGAGTTCAAAATTTTTATTGAAAGCAGTAAAAAAAATTGTTCAACATCATTTTACAGTTATTTCTTACACAATTATAATTTGATATCCATTTCTATAATTTAAATGACAAGTCACAGCCATTTAACTGAACATGCACTAGTTCAACCAGTACTAAAGAAGCCATTGCCAACTTATCTTATTTTCAAAACGAAAGATGAAATCTATAAGGGCTCAAGTCAATTCTTTATAGCAGGCATGATTTACATACCGTTCTCCTTTATATTCTTCCAGTGTAACTTCTTGAAAGGCATCCAAAGGAAACAGGTGATGGTAAGACCGAGCTAGATGGGGTGCAGAGACTAATGTAAGACCTTGAATATCAAAATAAAAAGATGGGGGGGGGGAAAATCATTTGTCAAGATAAACCAAAATTTTTGATTTCATGAATACAGGAGAAAGCAACAAAAGTAAGCATGTGTTTACGAACCTTTTGGCCCCGTGACCTTCCTATTGAACAGCAAAAGGTATTTTATGTGAGTGAATCAATTTTAATAATCTGAATTTCTGCCTTAGTCCACATAAAATTATAAAACTCTTAAGAATTGGAAGGTATGCAACTCCATTCTGTTCCATCTAGGTTAGTGATTGCAGAGGTTTTACAAAAGTATACTAATGACTTCCTTTGAGGGTTGGTGAATTATTTTAATTCTGTAATGAAAATATAACTATGTCCAAGCCCTTCAATCAAGGCAAGTTACAACTTTCCTCCAGCACAAGTGATATTTCCACTATACTATATAACTAAATTGGTTGCTAAAGGAATCCCTTTTTGGATATATATGTATTCCAATCAAGTGAATATAAAAGATACTGGAATACAAAAGAAATGGAGTCTGATCAAATTCTGATTCACCCCAAATTCCCACTGACCTCAATGAAAGTTTCAAGCAAACAAGCAATTCAGCATTCAGTCTAAGACACAACAGTCTGTGTTATGGTATTGCTTTCTACACACTGTAGCCCTCAGAGCCTCAAACCTATTTGATACCCAAGACTAGAATTAAGGACAAGTTCTGCAACAGGCATAATTGAGTCTTTCCACATCCCAATAGCTTAGGGGTTTGTTTGTTGTTGCTTACCATTATACGTAAAGAATCGTAGCAATGTAGGGCTGGAAGGACCTTGAGAGGTCATCTAGTCCAACACCCTACATTGAAGCATGACCAAATATACCTAACATTTATTTTGTCTGACCTGTTCTTAAAAACCTTCAACAGGGATTTCACAAACTTCCTTGGAAGCCTATTCCAGCACACAGAGCCCCAGAAACTAACTATAAGGATAGCTAGTTCTTCCTAATACCTAACTTAAATCTCCCTTGCTGCAGTTTAAGCCCATTACTTCTTGTCCTACTGTCAATGACATGGAGAACAATTGATCATCATCCTCTTTATAACAACCCTTAACATATCTGAAGACTATCAGGTTCCCTCCCCCCTGTCTTCTTTTCTCAGGATTAGACATGCCCAGTTTTTTTAACCTTTCCTCAGAGTTCCACATTTTGAGTTTACCAATTTTCACTGATAAGTTACCAGGTTTATTAAAGGAGTCCAGTTTTTACTGATTTACACCTCTTTATCAATCCACTCAATATTTTTTCAGGTACTGATTTTTGTTAAACACTAAAACTTTATGCAATTGTTGTGTCCTAGAGCGCTGAAACTGAAGCAGTTCCACAGTGTAAAACACAGTATACACAAGTAGAGGTTGGTGAGGGCTCTGGCTGGGGGTACGGGCTCTGAGGTGGGGCTGGGGATGAGGAGTTGGGGGTGCAGGAGGGTGCTCTGGGCTGGGACCGAGGGGTTTGGAGGGCGGGAGGGGGATCAGGGCTGGGGCAGAGGGTTGCAGTGCAGAAGGGGGTGAGGGTGCAGGCTCCGGGTAACGCTTACCTCAGGCAGCTCCCAGAAGCAGTGGCATGTCCCCCCTCCGGCTCCTACATGGGAACACGGCCAGGCAGCTCTGCACACTGCCCTGTCCGCAGGTGCCACCCCTGCAGCTCCAATTGGCTGTGGTTCCTGGCCAATGGGAGCTGTGGGGGCAGCATGTGGAGCCCCTTGGCTGCCCCTACGCGTAGGAGCCAGAGGGAGGACATGCCACTGCTTCCGGGAGCCACGTGGAGCGGGGAAAGCCCCTGCTCGAGCACCGGAGCAGGGCAAGCTCCGAACCCTGCTCTCCAGCAGGAGCTCGAGGGCCAGATTAAAATGTCTGGTGGGCTGGATGCGGCCCCCAGGCCGTAATTTGTCCACCCCTGTTCTACACAGTCTCTCCCCCTCTTGGTTACCTAGCAGACTGAGTCTGCCCTTGGCTCTCCCTTCCTAGAGGGAGAGTATGCCTCTCCCTGAACTACCAGCACACACAGCTCCAGAAACTTTGGTAAGCTCCTTGGGGTTATAGATAGATAAGGTAAACAGAGAAACATGGGATGAAAACACAAATCTATGTTGAATACCAATAAGCAAATCAGTGCTTGGAAATTTTCAAGGAAAGTAAGGATGGGAGTGGGGAGGATGCATTGTGCTGCAAGTACTGCAGCATTGAGGTCATAGGCACCGACTCTGTGGGTGCTCCAGGGCTGGAGCACCCATGGGGAAAAATTAGTGGGTCCTCTGCACCCACCAGCAGCCAAACTCCCCACCCCACCACCTCCTCCACCTCCATCCCAGCGCTTGCCAATAGCAAACAGCTGTAGCAAGCTCCAGGAGGGAGGTGGGAGGAGTGTGAACATGGTACACTTGGGGAAGAGGCAGGGCAGGGATTTGGGGAAGCAGTTGAATAGGGGCAGGGAGGGGGTGGAGTTGGGGCAGGGACTTTGGGGAAGGGGTTGGGAGGGGCAGGGCAGGGGTGGAGTCAGGGCAGGGGTGGGTGCAGAGGGGGGGGTCGAGCACCCAGTGGCACCATTTGAAGTCGGCGCCTATAATTGAGGTCATGCTCCTGCTGACAGAATAAAGGGACATGTTGAAAGGAAGCGACAAAAAACAAAAGAAGAAAGTGAGCTTCGGGATAAACAGTCAATAACAGGCGCTTTTACCGGGGCTTTAATGAAAAAGAAGGCACAGCATGATTGTGTCAAAGAATTTGTGCATGCTCTTCATTTTGCCGGACAACTGCTGTTAATAGCAGAGGGGCCTATTGATGATTTTGTGCAACAATACTGTCCAGCTGCAAAACCCTTCCTAATATACACAACCTCACTCGTAAGCATCTGAAAGAAAATGACAATGCTTTAGTATCTACACTGATGGAACAGATTAATGGAAATGTGGTGCCTAGTCTGATTTGTGATGAATCTCCTGATACTTTTGACCCTCCGATTCTTGGCCTTTTGTTTTAGTTTTTTTTATTTCAAAGCAAGTAAACCCACATTGTTTTGTGCTGATGGGACATACATCCCCTCTGCTGACAGCTGTTTTGTCGACACAACAGTAACTGACATGTTTGAGATGTACCAACTAACTTGGGAAAACGTGACCGCAACTAATAGCGATTCTGCTTCCTACATGACTATGTTTGCACAGGAGATTCAACTCAATCAGAAACCAGAGCTCCTACGTATTATCTGTCCAGCTCATCTGATTAATGCCGCGCTGTCAGCAGCTACTGCTACAGAAGAAATGAAAGATGTGAAATTTTGCATCACTGGATTCGGGGCCATTTTCAAGCATGCAAACAAACTGAAGGCTTTGTTTAACACAGTGCGAGTTGAGTGCAGAGCCAATTGCCGATTAACTACCCCTGGGTTGGGCCACATTGGTGGATGAGCTTGCATTTCGCTGTTTGTTATGTAAATGACACATGGACTGGCAAATAACCAAAATAAGTGCTAGATTCTGTGCACCAAGGTAATACTCATTGTTGAAAACTTGGGAGTCACTTGTGACACAGAAAACACTAAAATTTTCTCCAACTACTGCCAACACATTTGCTAGTACAGATATCTACTGGATCCTGAGAACCAAAATCTCAGCTGAACTGAGCACAAAAGCTGCAGGAGAAACATATGGCAAGAAAACCCAGCTGTTTCTGGAAATCCCTCCCACCCTGGAACACAAGAAAATCAAACAAGCACTCAAAACCTTCAACACAACACAGCCAGAAATAGGAGACGACCGTGGCCTATAATCTGAAACCCAAAGTGTTTGGTGCCAAAGATTCTTTTTGGAATGTCATCCAGATATTGCACCCTTTCCTCAAGATGAATTTTGCAGCAGACTATGACTGTTATACCAGAGTATTTCAACCATTTGCTACTAAAGATAAAATTTCAAATCTGAAAGGGGCATTTACTAATTCCATGAACTTCCCTAACCCTGACGATACGAAACTGGATGTTCTGGCTTCTTAGAACAACATCAAGACATACTTCCCAACTTCAGCAAAGTGGCACAGCAAGCTATGAGTGTATCCCCTGAATCTATTGATGCAGAGTGCATATTTTCAAAGTTGGACTAATTCCATGACAACAAGAGGCTCAACATGAATGAGGATACTTTGAAGAAAATTATGCAAGCATACGCGAACCAGGATTTCTGGAAAAACTATAAGCTCTGAGAAACACAAAATATACCTTTGTATACAAAAAAAAGTTTCAATTATACTGTAGTAAAATATATATATTACAAACTTTTTTCCTCTCCTCCTCCTGATTTTTCGCAATTTTTTTAACCTCTTTTCATCCTGTTTTTAAGGTTTGGAAAATAAACACTGAAAAATTCCTGGACTTTTTTTTTTTTTAAACAAATAAAAACTGAAAATGCAGAATACTCATAGGTCAGGCTTTTTAACCATTTATCATTTTTGTTACTCTCCACCAGACCCTCTGCAATTTGTTAATATCTTTCTTAAAGTGTGGCCCTCAGAACTGGACTCCAGTTGAGGCCTCATCAGCGCCAAACAGACAGGACAATTACCTCCCATGACTTAGCTATAACACTTCTGTTCATTCACCCCAGAACTATATTAGCCTTTTTTGCAACTGCATCACATTTTTGACTCATATTCAATTTGTGAGCCACAGTAACCCCTGATCCTTTTCAGCAATATTATCGCCTAGCCAGTTATTTCCCATTTCAGTTGGGCATTTGATTTTTTTATTCCTAAGTGTAGTACTTTGCACTTGTCTTTACTGAATTTCATCATGTTGATTTCAGGCCAATTCTTTAATTTGTCAAGGTCATTTTGAATGCTAATCCTGTCTTTCAAAGTGCAAGCAACCCCTCCGTACTTGGTGTCATCCACACATTTTATAAGCATACCCTTCACTCCATTATCCAAAATACTGAACAGAACTGATCCCAGGACACAACCCTGGAGGACCCCACTAGATATGTCCTCCCAGTTTGACAGTAAACCATTGATAACTATTCTTTGAGTAAGGTCTTTCAACCAGTTATGCTTCCACTTTAGGGAAATGTGGCCTAGATGAAATTACTATAGTTTGCTTATATGAATGTCATGTGCGACTGCGAAATCAAGATGAATCACGCCTACTTCTTCACCGCCCTCCCTCTCTAATCCACTAGACCAGTACCCTTGTCAAAGAAGGAAATTACATTGGTTTGGCATGGTTTGTTCTTAGCAAATCCACGCTGGCTCTTACTGATAAATCTATTATACTCTAGGTGCTTTAAAACTAATTTTTAAAAATTTGTTCCAATATTTTTCCAGGTATCAAAGTTAGACTGTCTGGTCTCAGGGGTGAAAGTAACTTAAATCTCTTACTGTATGCAGGGCTGCCGGGCTCCTGAGCAAGCTGGGGAGCGCGGCACCGTGGCTCTGGAAGGGGCAGGGCCTTGGACAGAAGGGGCATGGCCAGTGGCACTGGAACAATTTTTAGGGTGGGGGTGCTGAGCTGCAGCCCCCGCTACCCCCACCCCGTCCACATCCCTCAACGCCCCAGGCTGGGACCACAGCTGGGGGCAGTTGAGGAGCTCCAGGCCGGGGCCAGGAGCAGAGCCCCACGGCCGGGATCCCAGGCGGCAGCAGAAGGCCTGATGGCTGGGACCTGTAGTGGAGCCCCTGGGCAGGGGGCTGGCCGTCAGGACCCTGGCACGGGGCTACTCTGGGCACAAAGCCTGGGGGAGCAGCAGCACCCCCACTTCCCACACCTATGGGCAGGACTGGGGGGCCAGCCTCCCCCAGCCAGTCCTTCAGCGCTGCCGGGCAAGCTCTGTCCGGGGCTCCAGTGGTGATTTAAAGGGCCTGGGGTTCCAGCCACTGCTGCGGTAGCCCTGGGTCCTTTTAAATAGCTGGGCCCCAGGGCAGCTGCCCCTTTTGCCCCCGTCGGCAGCCCTGCCAGTACGGTCCTTAAAGCACTGCTGCGGCAGCGCTCGAACTTCGACTGTGTACCGGCCAGTACTGGCAGCCAACTTCTTACCAGTACGCTGTACTGGCTTACTTTCACCTCTGACTGGTCTATAATTCCCTGGATCCCCTTTTTAAAAAATAGGTACTATCTTCGCCCTTCTCTAGTCCTCCCCCATACTCCATGAGTTCTCAAAGATAATTACGAGTTGTTTCAGATAATTCCTTAAGGTACCCTAGCGTGCATTTCATCAGGCAATACCAATATGAATACATTTAAATAATTCTTTAACCAGTTCTTTCCCTATTTTGGTCTGCACGCCTTCCTCCTTGTTAATATTAATTGTGTTAAGTATCTGGTCACAATTTACCTTTTCTGTGAAGACTGAAGAAATAAGCATTAAACAACTCAGCCATCTGAATGTGGTCCATTATCAGCTCTCCTTCCCTGCTAAGTACAGGATTTACACTTTTCCTTTGTCTTTCTCTTGCTCCTAATGTCTTTATAAAACCTCTTCTTGTTGACTTTTATTGTCTCTTGCTAGGTGCAACTCATTTTGTCAATAGACTTTCTGATTTTGTACATGTGCTATTCTTTTGTACTCATCCTTAGCAATTTGTCCATTTTCATTTTTTGTAGGATTCCCTTTTGATTTTCAAGTACAGCCGAAGCAGCCTTTTCGTATCCTTCCTATCTTTCCATCACATCAGGATCGTTTAATGTTATGCCTTTAATATTGTCTTGGGAGAAGCTGGTAGCTCTCCGGAACTCATTCATCCCTTAGATTTTCCTCCCAGGGGACCTTACCTTCCAGTTCTCTGAGTTTGTCTAAGTCCTTATTCTGCTGCTCTCACTCCTCCCTTTCCTTAGAATCATAAAATCTATCGTTTCATGATCACTTTCACCCACATTGCCATCAACCTTCAGATCTGCAATCAATCCCTCCCTGATAGTTAGAAGCAAGTCTAAAATGGTGTTCCCCTGGTTACTTCCACCATCTTCTTAAACAAAATGTTGTCCCCAATACAAGAACTTGTGTTTTGCCATATTGCTTTTCCTGGGTAGTTAAAGTCCCCCAGTCCTACCAAATCTGATGTTTTGGTTATTTCTATAATTTGTTCTAGAAATGCTTCATTCGCCTTCTCCTGATTTGCTGGTCTATAGTAGACCCCCTCCCATGACAGCTCTCTGTTCCCCCCCCCTTTGTCTTCACCAAGTCTATATACTTTGTGTTGTTGTTTTTTTATACTCACCACAGATTTTGCATTCCACAGGGAGTTCACAGTATTTGGCCCTACACTGGGGACAGAAATATCCACCCAACGTGAGACCTGGATCACTGTTGTTTTCCAAGTGCCTGGGGGTGGGGCAGGAAGAGAAGAAATTAATACTGTTGAAATCTCTTGGACAAATGTGAAACTGTTGGACAGAACTGGAGAACGAGCATAGAGTTTGTCACAGAGTTTGGTGTGATGCAAAGTTGCAAATCAACCAGAAAATTCACTATTAAATACACTTTTCCTTAAATGACATAGCCATTTAATGAAGTGTTACAACAAAACACCAACACTTTACCAGGGTCTTTAATTAAATCCTGGGATTAACCTTCCCATTTATTAAGTAGCAAAATATTCAGAAATTTATTAAGTGTTACCTAGTAGCTCAATTTCCACTGGTAATGGAGTTTCTAACCCTGTGTCTCAATAATACCCAAGAATAGGGAAATATCATGAGGAGTTCAATAAGCTTTTTGAAATGTGATCCAGGATCTAATGGTTTAAGGAAATCTTTTTCCAAGAGAGGAAATGTATGCTTGATTTAGCCACCTGCTTTTGACTCAGAAGCCAGTATCACGCTTTCCCTCAACAACAGAAGAAAAGATTAATTTTCCCCCCACATAACTGAAATTTCCTTTACCTCTAGAAAGTGACTTTATAAAAGGCATCCACTATATTATAGTCATAATTTTTCCTCACACAGAGAAACTCTGGTTTGGACTTAAAAACTAAAGATATGCATTTTAATTCTCTCATGGAGTATACACGGTTCTTCTTCGAGTGATTACTCATATCGATTCCAATTAGGGTGTGTGTGCGCCATGTGCACAGTCATCGGAAAGTTTTGCCCCTAGCAGCACCCATTGGTTTGGCTGTGGGGCCCCCTAGAGTGGCACCTCCAAGGCAGACCGTCGAGTCCGGTACCGTTGAACTCCCCAAGCCAGGTGACTGAGGAGGTGGAACTGCAGTCCACCCCGGACACCTTTGAGGCCACAAGATACTTGTTTGCCACGACAGCGCCAAGGTCCCCAGTCCTCCGTGCCAAGCCTCCAGTGCCACAACGTATGGCTCCATCTTGAGGCAAACCGGCAATGCTTTGTCCTTCAGTATCGCCAGCAGAGGCAAGATACCGCTCTGAGTCCCAGCACCACTCGGACTCATGGCACCGGTCAGATTCGCGGCACAGGTCCAAGTCACGCCAGCGCTCCGGATCGCAGCACCAATCCCCGTTGCACAGCAAGTCCCACTCCTGGCTCCGGTTGCCTTGGCACCGGTCAGCATCTCTGTGCAGACCCCACTCACAGTACCACTCCAGGTCCAGTCTCGTAGCACTGCTCCCCAGCCCAGCTCCGCACCACCCTGGCCATCATGGTCCCAGTCCCTGTCTTCGGAGGCGGGGTCCAGACACTCGCCGCAGGGCCGACACTGGTGAGCTCATAGAAGGCCTGATGTGGGTGCAGGGCCATGGCCTTTGGAGTGGCAGGGATCAGTGCAGTAGCTATTTTGAACCCCCATGGATGTACCACCAAGCCCAGGGCACCCAATCTAAAGGTTCCCATTCAGTGGTGTCCAAACCAAGGGTGCTGGAGGCATCGGCCAGTCGCCCCACCCCAAGGGTGCTAAGGTTGTACCGACCACACTACCTCCCCTGGAACCAACCCCCGTTCCTGGGCCAGATCCCAGGGTGGTTGACCAAGATGTAGAGGCAGAGCAGGAGGCCCCAGGGACCGGAAGGGGCAGGAGGAACCCGTGTCCTCCCTGGATGAGGCGTTTGCGGGAAACTCCGCCTCGGGGCCGCCCCCATAGACAACTGTGCCCACCAGGACCTCCTATGCAGGGTGGCACAGAGCATGGGTCTACAGGCCAAGGAGGTGGTAGAGTCAGAGGCCCCTCTGGTTGACATCTTGGCCCCGGAAGGCCCATCAAGGGCGGCTCTACCCCTTATCAAAACTATCCAGGCCAACGCAAAGATCATTTGGCAGACCCCAGCCTCTATCCTTCCCACCACAAAGAGTGTGGAGAGGAAATACTTTGTCCCCTCTAAGGGGAAATACCTTTTCACATACCCGCAACCTTGCTCTTTGGTGGTGGCTACGGTGAACGAGAGGAAGAGGCAGGGAGAGCAAGCCCCAGCACCTAAGTTGAAGGACTCCAAGCACCTGGATCTGTTCAGGCGCAAGATGTACTCCACTGGGGGTTTGCAACTCAGGATTGCCAACCAGCAGGCAATCCTGAATAGATAGTTTCAATTCCCAGAGCTCTATGCTGAAATTTAAGGAGCAAAATCCAGGAAGGAATTCAGAGCTATTGTTGAGACGGGCAAGGCAGAGGCACAAACCTCTTTACAGGCCTCACTGGACACTGCTGAGTCGGCGACATGCACCTTGTCCTCCAGAATTGCCATGCAGCATAGCTCACAGTTGCAGGCGTTGGGGCTTCCGCCCGAGGTCCAACAGACCATGCAGGACCTGCCTTTTGATGGGACGGCCTGTTTGAGGAGCAGATGGACTCCAGGCTGCCCAGCCTAAAAGACGCCTGGGCAACTATCAAATTATTGGGCATGCATACCCCAGCAACCCAACACAAACATTTTAAGCTGCAGCAACAGCAGCAACGCTCCTATCCTCCTTGGCTGAGGCAGGATTTCTATAGGAGAAGAGGCAGGAACAGCAGGCGCAAGCCTTTCCACCCCTCATCTGGGCAGGGCCAAGGCCTGACCAAACCCTCATCAGGTTCAAAACAGGCCTTTTGAAGGTGTGCCTGAGGATGGCACATCAGCCATGACCCCGGATCCTTTCCCTTGTTTCCTGAATTATCTGTCCCACTTCTGCTTGGTCCCAAATAACATCAGACCGCTGGGTCCTTAGCACAGTAAAAGTGGGATATTCTCTACAATTCTGCTCCTCCCCCCCTTCCCCGTCCCTCTTCAGGGACCCTTCTCACGAGCAACTCCTTATCCAGGAGGTGTGGGCACTCCTCGCCGGAGGAGCTCCTCAGTAGCTCAGGGGCAAGGGATTCTATTCCCAATACTTCCTAATTCCCAAAGCCAAGGAGGGCCTCAGACCCATTCTAGACTTGCAAGGCCTCAACAAATTCATGGTAAAGTTGAAGTTCTGCATGGTCTCCCTGAACTCCATCATTCCGTCTCTGGATCCGAGAGACTGGTATGCCACCCTCGACCTCAAGGACGCTTACTTCCATATATCCATACGTCCTGCGCACAGACTGTTCCTCCCTGTAGCCCATAGGATCATTTTGCTAGCTATTATATCCTACTAATCCAGCCACCTGTATCAAATACACGTCCCAGTCACGCTGCTGCTGTTCCCAGACCTGATCACCCAGGACCATGGTCATCTTCGTCACCAAGACCTCCAGTCTCTCCACCTCACGGCCTGGAAGCTTCATGGTTAAACCGCATGGAGCTCCCGTGCTCCGTCAGGGAAGTGCTACTCAGTAGCAGGAAGCCCTCCACTAGGGCCACCTATCTGGCAAAGTGGAAGAGGTTTACAATCTGGTGCTCCCAGGCCCCCATTCCTCTCATCCTGGACTATCTGTTACACCTTAAGCAGCAAGGCTTCGCTGCCACTTCCATCAAGGTACACCTAGCAGGTATCTCTGCATTCCACCCAGGAGCAGCTGGGTGCTCCCTCTTTACCAACCCCAGGGCTGGCCGCTTCCTCAAGGGCCTGGAGTGTCTGTACCCACAGGTTCGGCAGCCAATACCTGCATGGGCCTCAACCTGGTTCTCTCCAAACTGATGGGGCCCTCCTTCGAACCGTTGGCAACCTGCTCGCCCCTTTATCTATCACAGAAGGTTGCCTTCCTAGTTGCCATTACTTTGGCAGGATGGGTTTTGGAGCTCAAGGCCCTCACCTCTGACCCTCCATACACGGTCTTTTTCAAGGACAAGGTGCAGCTTAGGCCTCACCCAGCTTTCCTTCCAAAGGCTGTGTCACAATTTCACTTTAACAAGAAAATTTTCCTGCCTGTGTTTTACCCCAAACCGCATGCAAGCAGTCAGGAGAATACACTCCACTCTCTAGACATTCGCCGGGTGCGCGCCTTTTACATCGAACACATGAAACCATTCCGAAAGTCGAACCAGCTATTTGTGGCAGACCAAATGAAAGGCCTCCCAGTCCCGCTGCAGAGGATCTCATTGTGGATTACCTCCCGCAACCACACCTGCTATGAATTAGCCAATGTTCCAGCCCCGGCTCTCATGGCTCACTCCACAAGGCATCATCGATAGCATTTCTGGCCCAGGTGCCAATCCAAGAGATCTGCAGGGTGGCAATGTGGTCTTCAGTGCATACCTTTGCCGCTCACTATGCCATGACCCAGCACACTAGAGACGATGCAGCCTTCGGCAGGGCAGCGCTCCAGTCTGTGATTCCATAACTCTGACCCCACCGCCTAGGTAAGGCTTGCGAGTCACCTATTGGAATCAATATGAACAATCACTCGAAGAAGAAAAATAGTTACTCACCTTCTCGTAACTGTTGTTCTTTGAGAGGTGTTGCTCACATCCATTCCAAACCCAGCCACCTTCCCTTCTGTCGAAGTAACTGGCAAAAAAGAACTGATGAGGTGCCGGGTCGGCATGGTCATATATTGAGTACCATGGAGGCGCCACTCCAGGCGGCTCCGCAGCCGACCCGACAGGTGCTGCTAGGGGAAAAAACTTTCCGATGACTGTGCACGCGGCACGCATACACCCTAATTGGAATGGATATGAGCAACACATCTTGAAGAACAAGAGTTATGAGAAGGTGAGTAATCATTTTTTTCCTTCTGAAACTTAAAAAAATTTTCTATGGTCTCTTCTCACAAAGAAGGGCACTCTCTTGCTAATCAAGCTTTCAATTTCACTATACATTAGCAATGAAATTAATGGAACACTCAGTTCCAGGTATTCTTTCCTTATCACCACCATGTTTACGGATCGGATTTATATTATTTGCTATAGCATAGTAAAAAGTGTTTATGTATTGCAGTGGCTCCTAAAGGCACCAGTCAGGGATCAGGGTCCCATTGTGCTAGGCACTATACAAACAACCAAAAGATGATCGCTACCCTAAAGATCTTAAAATCCAAGTAAGTATAAGTTAAGAGACAACAGCTGGATACAGATGTTAGCAGCACAAGATAAAATGAGACTATTATGAACAGTTGTACGCAGAGATGACCGGAAGAGGACCTCTGTATAAGCGCAAAAGCTTCTCTCTCTCTCACCAAAAGAAGTTGGTCCAATAAAAGATATTACCTCACCCACCTTGTCTCTCATTATGAACAATGTCATAAGCAGTGGTCACAGCACACCTGCTGCCTATCCATTTTCATGATGTTTTGTACCTTTCAGTGCATATACAGCATTTTCTAAGTTTATCTAGATACCACAGAATTCTAATAATGCCTAAAACTAACCAGATTTTACTTACGCCATGCTAAATGATGGTTTAGCATCCTGATCAGAGAGAGATGCAATGGTATGCTGAGGAAAACCTTAGGAGCCAAGAAAAATATTACATCACTATATGAATTGGTAACATACAACAAACAATTTCCTATTTGAGTGGAGAAGTTAAAAAGTTAGAGGTTACTGTTTAAAATATTTCGTGTTATTACAGAAGTCAATGCACCGTTTCCTAGATACTAAATCCATCATGAGTGTTCTCTTCCTACTTCTGCCTCCAAATCCTGTATTGCATCACCTTACAAAAACATTTTTTTTCCCCACTTAGAGTGAAACTGACAAACCCCAATTTTTTTGGCAAACAATTACAGAAAAAATTAGGTGAGATAGTAGAGAAGGAGAAAGAGCAATGTATTAAAGGGAACTATGGTTCAAGTCAGAAATTAAAGGGAACTAATTTAATGTTCAGACTTCAGAGACGTGATCCGTTTGAGTGCAGTGTGATGGTTAATACAATATTTTCTGGAGGTCCTAGGTAGCTTCCAGTCCACCTGTGGTAATTATTTTTATAGCTCATCTCAACCAAGGAGATAGTTTTTCTTATTACTGTTCCACTGATTAGACTGAAAAAACAAAAGCTTAAATCGTTTAATTATAAGGATGATTACACACAAATGTCTACTCTGTGTGTATTTAGTCACTTTGACGAATGAAAATAAAGTTGTTTTAAAATGGGAAACAAGTCTGTACAGAGGCACAGCAGCAGAACACTGTGCTGCTACTTAGCTTCAGGCTCACACTCCTTCCGAATTCTTTTTCTATCACAAGGAAGCAAAGGAGCTCATTCCAGTTGTTAGAAAGGAACAAGCTGACAAGATTTCTCCTAATATATGCCCAATCAGTTAATCACAGCAATACGGGCATGAATTTAAAAGGCTTATGGATTTTGGCCTAGGTACAGAAGGCAGTCATCATGATAAAATGGCAAATAGAAATACAAATGGAGAGGCACACTTTTTAGATTTATCTTAATATTTTACATATCACATTTTTCCACTACCGCACAAAGAAATATTGTGTAAGATTTGTTACTACCCACTTAAAATGGAGTTTGGTCTCTTTTTTGTTTCAATTTAAATAGCTAAATGGTTTGTAGGTATATTGTTAAATATGTTAAAATCCAGTTTGCTAAAAGTGAAAAATTAAAGTGAAAACAATTATGCATCAATATGTTTTTCAGATTTCAAACAGCTTCCTTGTTCATATCACTTTAATACAGAAGACACAAAAGAGGATGTTACACCAAAGATTCTTAAATCTTGCACTTAAAATTTAATAAATCAAGATCCTACCCATTCGAATAAGGGAGCATTCAGAACTTGAACTGGCAGGTGGAGGGCTAATATGATGCATCAGCAGCTCCTTATAGTGGCTTTCATCTAAAATTACATGGTATGTTCCTACCATGGAGAAAGAAAATGCATGACTCTCCGCTGACTCATTTATTAAGAATAGGTAAACATCACAATCATAATACCTGTTCAAATAAAGTATGGATAGTTTTACTGAGATCAGAACCATGAACAAGAAAAAAAAACAACTGGAAAATCAAGTTTAGGCAAAACTTGAAAACAGTTTAAGCAAAAATGTATAATGCTAATAGTGCAAAATATATGGGATGTTACCTATAGTTACTACATATTTTTTTTTAAATATACAAGTATGACTGTGTACCTCTAAAAAGTTAGATAGTGAGAGCCTACCTTTCCCTCTCCACACTAACTGATACAATGCAATTTTTTTCCAACTCACCATTGTAGTCACTAATGGTAATATATGTTTAACAACTTTAATATGATACAGTTTGCCTACAGACTTTTTCAGATATCCTTATTTCTTTAATCATCTCTCTTCCAAATCAGCAACTATAGTTACATATCAAATTTACTGAATTTGTATGACTTCTTTAAACAGAGGGAGCAATTATGAAATATTCTCTTAACACAACAGTATGGTAAAAATAAAATACATCCTCTTTAAACATCAGAATTTATTTTTAAAAAATTGTCAAATCTTTCAGACTTACTTTTAGACTTAAATGACTACTACTGACATATGTTCAGAATCAGTCTATATACTTACCACCCGTTTCTCGGGCAAGTACAGTACAAACTCGAACTTCAGCAGATAGGCCGATGACAGATACTCTGATCTTAACTGCCTTTAAACACTTCACATAGAAAAACAAAAACCACCCAAATGCATCAGCAGAACTGAAAACTGTAAAAGGTATATACATTTTCAATTTAAAAGTAATCACAAAAATGATGCATCAACAACATTTTTTTAAAAAAATACTAATTCTTCACTTCTATACCTTAATTAGATCATAGATATTAGATGGATCACACGTTGTCAGGCTACTGAAGATAATCAAAACCTCTCTGCTTGTATGTCCTGGCATGTGCCTATAGAAGGTAAAAAGATGTATATTTAAATTAGCTATAAATTAAGAATATAACAATTACATACACGTATGTTGAAGTTTGATGCTGTGGCTTTTTAAGAATCCCCAAGAGTAACATTTCCTAGTACTCAGTTGTACAAAATTCAGAAAAACACATGGCTAATGCCCACAAACACCAAAGAATGCTGTAAATCCTCAGAGAGCTGCTCCCACAATAAGGTCATACTTTTCCAAAATCTAACCTACTGAAATAACCCTTTCAGTTGATGGCTTGTTATAGTTCTTGAAGTTATCCCACCACAGTCCTCCAGGGAAAAATTAGATTCAGTCTGACACCACCATAACAAATCGAGCATTTTTCTTTTTTTTAAAACATTATTCTGTGGCCAATTCAGAGATGCAAATCTATGACATCTTTCACAGAGAGCGGGTCCTCAAAGTTTCCAGTGTCTTTCTATCTCTCTCACTTCCACATATCAAAATACAGCAAATGCTTTAAGATAATATTTTTTCTTTTCAATTCCCTATAGAAAAAAATTACTATCAACTCAGACAACAACCTTCTTGTCTTTCTTTTTGAGGCTTTTAACAATTTAGAACCACTCTAACTAGCCGTCCTAGTAGCTTACTGAAATGTCCACCACCACCTTTACTCTGTCATTGTTCTTGGCCTTTCTTGCTCACCTGTCAGACTCTCCCTCAAACATCCATTCTTTCTCTCATGCCACTTATTTACCATGCAAGCTCCCTCCCAGCAAAAATCTAAAACGCTACTATTTTAAAACTCACTTTTCACGTGAAACATACAAAACTCAGCCAGATGACCTTGGCACAGGTGGTAAGCTGTGACTGTTCCTCTTCCCCCTCCTTCCTTTTCTCATACCTTTAACTAACCCCCACTCCTGCCATTCCCCCCGACCCTACCTCTACAGTCAAATTAAAAATAAATAGTTAAAAATAAAAAATAGGAAACTAACAAAACTGATGGTATTTCATCATCCTGTTCATTTACCTGTCTTCTATATTCCAATTTCCAAACCTTCATCTGTTATTAGATTTTAACCTTTCTAGGACAGGGACTATTGTCTTCAGCTGTGTTTGTACAATACCCAGCACAATGGGGCTTGGATCCTGAGTGGGGCCTTTACACACTATTATAATTAAAAAATAATTCATCAACTGCTCCTTTTGCTACAGTAACCCAAGTTCCATTTGTCCTAGCCTCATAGTCGAGTTCATTAAAACCATTCCTACAGACCATTACTTACACCACTTTTCCATTTGACTTTACAGTTTTGGATTGCTCCATGAAAAGTCTGTTCATATCTGAGGAGCTGAGCCACATACTATGCAGAAAACAAATTTTAATATGTTCTTTGCTTTAATGGATATGCAGTTAAAAGTTCAAAATCTGCACTTTTCAGCTCTTTGCATGTAATAGCTGTGGTCTTGACTACCTCTTCAAAGAACAGAATGAAATCCTATACACAAATACTCAAAGTGTTAATTTTGGCAGTAACTGTTTCTCTAAGATGCTGAAACAGAGTTAACCAAAAGACAAGGGGACATTTGATATTTATATTATAGATATCTAACAGTTATGTTTTGTTTATATGTTTTGATAAATACTTTGTGCTCTTATAGAGACAGAAAAACAAAGTTCCCCACTTCTTACTAATATTAAATAATGCTTCCAATTTTTCCTAACAACAATTACATACTCCCATCTGAACAGCAGCATAAACAGGTTTTTGTCTGGGAATATTAAATGCTTTGTTATTTTTAAATGACAATTATGTTGTCTGTGCATTGTACAAAGCAGAAGTTAGTTATCTGTATTGCAATAACACCTCAAGGTATCTCAGAAGGATCAGTGCAGCACTGTGCAAGGCATTACTCCCAAACACAAATACACTCCCTGCCACAAAGAGCTTACAATCAGCGTTTTATCAGTTTCTGTTGTTCCAAAAAGAATGAAACCTATAATAACCTACATATACTAACTTTAAAGTCTGCATGGCCAAATTTAAAGAGTTATACAGAGATGGTTCTCCATGGCAGGTCAGATCTACAGCTTTCTTCAGAGCAGTTGTATGCTTTCTTGGGTTTCCTATAAGTAAAAACAAAACTCACCTGAAATGGTAAGATTAAAAAACAACCTCCTACCCCCCCCCCCCCAAAAAAAACCTTACAATTGTAAATTTTTCCATTAATTTATACTGATACAGTATGAAATACATAAACAAAATATCCTAGTGTGAACTGTATCACAAATTTTTAGTAACAATACTATTTAGTACTTACATTGTCCTTTACATCCTCAACACACTGTACAAACATTAAATCACTCCCAAAGCACCTAAACAAGGTAGTAGTTATCCCAATTTTACAGATGGCTTAGTAGACAAGGAGAGGTTAAATGATTTGCCTGAAGCCACACAGTTTGTTAGTGGTAGAACATACATTAGAAATCAAGAGTTCCTGTTTTTCAGCCTCATCTCTAATCCACTAGATCATAAGGCCTCCATTAACTACAATTACAAAGTTAAAACAGATAACAAGGAGAGAAAGAAAATAACCAGTATCGGAAAAAAGGTGTTTTTCATATGATGATATTTGAAATATTGATGAGGGAGAAATATGAGAAGGCTGTTCCAAACGGGAAGAGCTCCTAGAAGACGGCTCTCGCACTGAATCATGAAAATGTATATAAAAGAGGAAGTTGGTGAGAGAGGAAAAAAAGAGAGAGCAGAAAGCGCAGACAATAGAGAAATTCATGTGTTGGCACTCAATACAAATTACATGCACAAAGTTATCAAGAGAAAATCAATACTGAAATTTGATTTCTGCTCTTAAAACATATGTATATTTATATTCCTAAGCATAAGTAGACTCCCTGACCAATCAGAAGCTTATCTCAAAACAGACTACAATCCTGCAATTAGATCCACTAACATGGACTCCTACACCTTTCTGGCGCTCTACTAACTTCATTAGGGTCTGCCTGTATGGAACAAGTTGCAAGATCAGGGCTGTAGAGTGCAACAGTTATAGTGATGACAATGATTCTCTAATACAAAAGGATACTTCTTTCCTACCTGAAAGTTCTGTCAGCTTTTCAGCTCTTTTACTCTTAGTTACAATTATACCAATCTGCAAGAAATAGTTTTATTAGTGAGTTATCATCAATTTGAGCTACATTTTTAGTATACCCTGTGTGTTGTTATATAGATCTTTTTGGATCAGTGCTTACAATACCCACATATTTCTCTGCAGCCTTTCTTTGCAAGCACAGTAATTTAAAACCAGCTCTCACCTTGAGATACAGGAAATTACTAGCACAACTCCCTTTGTATTAAGATGAAAATATATTCTTAATTCTTCACTCTATTGGTACCCCTAACCCCTAAGGACTAAAATGTCTCTTTATATCCTTTTTCTGGCATTAAGAATGCAATTCCAAATCCTAATTGTGTTAGCATTTGTACTTCAGAAAACTGTAAATCAATATTCAATTGAATTCTCATCCTCACCATTTAAGAGGGAAAAAAACATTACACAAGATCAGGGGAGAAAGAGGAAAAGACTACTAATATTAATTTAAAATAATCTGTTGAAAAATGTTTAATTAAAATTAAATGAAAACTTCAAAATAGTTCTTCCAACTTTGTTTTCAGACAACTGCTTAATCAGTAACAATGAATCTGGTTTCCAACAATACCTACCTGACTAATAGGATTTTGGTCAAAGTATTCTTCAACAAAATATTCCAATAACTATAAAAAAGGTTGAGTATTAAGATAATTAAACATATCTGTTAAAATGACAGTACTTATAAAACCATTTAGAACCTTTAAACATGCCCCATCCTCGCACCCTCCACCCGAGACACTCCTTGGGTGCACAGTACCTTTCAGAAACTTTAGAAAAATCTCAGCTTACATTAAGTACATGGTAACTATACTAGTGCTATTTCTGCAGCAAATTTAAAATAGATCTAACAGCATTAGTTAGAATTAAGACAACAGCTGAAATTTTAGTCTGTAATACAGATCAGTGGCAATGATTACTGACTTATTTTCTGCAACCAATAATCTTGTTAACAGAAATTAAGGTCCCAATCCTGAAAATGGCTGTGTACACACATTTAACTTTAAGCATGTGTGTACACCAATGAAGTCAATGTTTGCAGGAAGAGATCAGGGACTAAGTCATATTCAGCCAAACTTATTCTACCTTCCATATGACTCAAATTCACTAACCAAAACTAAGCAGTATTTTGGTTAACACATGGAAGATTAGAGTTATTTTGAACAGAGGGTCTTCCCCATTCACACAAAAGAAATATTGATAATTACTTAATTTTTAAAAAGATATGAAGTTTAAACAAAGTGTGTTCCCCTAATTCACACCAAGGACCTTACATTATCTATACTTCTGAACACATGGAAGATATTACAGCAGTGGTGGGCAACCTGCAGCCAGCATGCGGCCCATCAGGTAATCTGATTGCGGGGCGCAAGACATTTTGCTGACATTGACTATCCGCAGGCACAGCCCCCCGTGGCCACAGTTCGCCGTTCCCAGCCAATGGGAGATGCGGGAAGCAGCGGGCCGCAGGAACATGCTGGCTGCTGCTTACCGCAGCTTCCACTGGGAACCACGGCCACTGAGAGCTGCAGGGGGCCGTGCCTGCAGTAAACATCAGCAAAATGTCTTGTGGCCTGCAATCAGATTACCCTGATGGGCCACAGGTGGTCCACCACTGTATTAGAGGAAAAAGAGAAAAATGGAGTATTTGATTCAGCAAAATGTGAAAGTTTTTCCTACGTTAGCTAAAATTGTTGCAATAAATACAGCACATAATAAAATGTTTTATTTGTATAGGCAATCAGAAACATACACATTTTAAAACATAATTTTAATGCTTAGTGTTGTCAGGGCAACATCTTATCTCCATCAAGTTCAGTCCTCTGTAGTTAGTCATACCTATCTAAACTGGAGTAAGTCACTATCACAGACTCAATCAGGACCTATGAAGCATATTTTCAGCACAAAAAATTAAAAATTTATTTTTAAGAAGTGCAAAGTATATTTGTTCTCTTTCCACTGCATGCTGTGGGTGATACCTCACAGTCTGCCAACTCTCAAGTTCTTTGTATGGCACTTCCTGTTATTTAAACTTCTCCACAGCCCTCCTAACATAATTATTACTACTACTGTAGTGCCTAATGATGCCAAACAGCCCCATTGTACTAGCTACTGTACAAAATAAACACAAAGACAGCCTTTACCGCACAGAGTTTGAAACAGTGTTTCCCAAATCAGTGGTCCCAACCCACCAGTGGATTACAGGAATGTTCTAGACGGATCACCGCAACCAGGGCCAGACTAACCCATCACTGCACATACACTTTCATACACTTCTCCCAGCTTGGTGAAAGTGGGGGGTTGGAGAGCAAGCCCACCCCATATTCATCCCACAGCAGCAGCTCCTCTCCCATGGGGCTGAGCCCAGCTCCCTACTCCAGGTGTTGCAACTTGGTACCTGGGATTGCAGTCTCACCCACGCAAATTTGGTCACCATGGAGGGGAAGCAAGGCCAAATTTGAGAGAGAAGTGCTGTGCCCCAGTGCACCAGGGCACAACATCTGGAGGGGGACACACCCTAGATAGGAGTTGCCACTGCGGGATCAGTGCATGGTGGACTCACTCTCCAAACGTGCCCTTCCTCTCCTAGTCCTCGCACTAGGCCAGGATTAGGGTTGCAGTGCCAGAGCAGAGAGTGCATATATGTAATGGTGGGTTACAAAAGGGGAAGGAAAAAAAAGATCAAATGCTGTTGGTGCCTTAGTACGAAGTCTGGGAATCACTGATCTATAGTTTGGAAAATATGCAAGACAAACAACAGACAAAGAGGGAAGAGGCAGATGGGAGCATTAACATAAGTATTAGTCAAAGGTAGTTGCAATCCTCTTCAAGCCCAGATGGATATGATCTGCAGACATCACAACAAAGGAAGATGAATATACTTTTGATAAAATAAATACCTTTAAGGTACACGTAAGCCTGTTAGGTTTTAAATCTTGGTCCTCCATAGTTCTTGATCCATCTACCACCACATAAAGGTGACGCATCTGAATCATAATCATAAAGGATATTAATTCCACAAATTCTTGGTCTGAAACAAACAAACTTTTAGAACTCACATCAAACATGTTTATAAGACAGTAATTTAAAATAACTGCTGTTTATTTCAAGTAAATTAAATAGACAATATGTATAGCCTTCTCTGTCACATTGGCAATATTTAGAGTACGGAACAGCATAATGGCCTTTACGGATTCTTTGTTGGCTGCTGATTAAAGAGGTTAAGTTCTTCTCCATCATCCCTTTACAATGTGAGCAGAGATCTTCTCCTGATAAATGATCACTGTTCTCATCCTCTCTCAAAAGATGGATTATGGAATAATAATATTTTGTATTTATATCATCACTTCAACTGAGAAAGTCAGTGTTTTACAAATCAATCAGTTCTCACAGCTGGTTTGAATTAAGCTAGTACCATTATGCCCATTTTACATATTGGGAAACAGACTCCAAGAGGTTGTGTGATTCAACTGTATCACAAAGCAGGCCCTACCAAAAGAAATAGAACCCAGGTCTCTTGAATATCAGACACTTTCAATATTTAGCATACCACACACCAACTCATGAAAGTCAAAACAATTGTCTGTTGGGACAGAAAGAAACCTCAAGCTCATGCACATCAAGTCAGTAAAAATATTTCTTAGATTTGATGCCACTGTTTTCTGAAGAGGGAAAACCACTTCATTACAAATAATCTCAGGCACAACAAAACTAGATCTAACAGTCAAGGAGAATATATAAACATACCATTCCAAGTCTAACTTGCCCATGGTGTTCAAAGATTCTGTTAAAAATACAAAAGAATTTGAGCTAAGACTATAACATGGGATTCTAAAACAGCATCAATAATTAAGGCCAATCCTACAGTTACATGACATGCTAAATTACCATTAACATCAATGCATTTAAAAGGGATGAAAGATTAGGTTCTAAATATGCATACAACTAGGGCTGTGAAAAACCGTGGAGCACAGGCTCAGTAAAAAAAAACAGTAGAGTCTTATCAAATTTTAATGGAGTTATTTGTTTTGAACTTCTTTGCCACTCTGAAGTATTTACACAAACATAATATATTTGAAAGTTTGGGGGTTTTTTGCCTTAACATCTGTGAATGAAAAGCACTAGGCAAATATCCAGCCAGTCCAATAATGAACAGATTAAAATAATCTGTATATCAATATTTTGTTAGATGGCATACAAAGATGGATTCTGCTATTTACATTCAGTTGTCTAGTTGCAGCACACTGCACTACCGAAGAAGTGAGGTTTTAACGTACGAAAGCTTATGCCCAAATAAATCTGTTAGTCTTTAAGGTGCCACCAGACTCCTTGTTGTTTTTGTAAATACAGACTAACACGGCTACCCCCTGATACTTGACACATATAGAATATAAGTTTAGGACCCAATTTCTTTGGGAGCAGAGATATGAACTACCCAGTATCAATACCCTTAAACAGGTTGAAGAGAAATCTCAAAGTACTCTTTCTGGCACAATTAAGTACAGATAGAACTATGGAAGGGGAGGCTGAATCTAAGACACAGAATGTGGGAAAAAAGGGGAAAAGAGAAAGTATGTTTACTTATAAATATTGCAGTATGTTTAATCTATCCTATGAGGACAATTTTTTCTCAGTGTAATTCCTTTGACTTCAACGTAGTCACTCCAGAGATGAGCTTTTCCTAATGTGTTCCCTGGGCTTTAGAACTTCAGAACTGACTGCTTACCTTTTTCTCTTAGCCTTAAAAAGAATGTCCTCTATAGTTGCTTTCAGTGACCCAGATTCATCTTCTTTGAGAACCTCCCTACAATGAACAATTTATTACATAAAAGTTAGATTACATTCTCTCTCTTAAAATAAAATAATTAATAAAACAAAGCTTACCATGTTCTTTCATAACCTCCTTCCCAGCGTTTGGTTCTTTCAGGCTCGTCATCCATGTCTGTCTGTCTGTCCAAAACTGCTTACTTACAATACTGTTAGGGACAATGATTACATCCTTATAAACAAAGGTATTTTGATAAATTTTGTCTGATTACGTGCCACAGAACATTGGAACTAATACAATGCATCAGTCTCTGTGTTGACAATAAAAATGTGACTTAAGATGCTGAATTACTTTTGTCAAAACCAGGTCCCCAGTCAATACTAACGTGCAGGTAGCCCTCTGCCCTGTGCATGGGTGAGCTCCTGAGCGAAGCGGTGAGTGTACAACAGCTGAACAACGCCGCGCCCGCGGAACACGTTCCGTGCGTTTATTGTGACCGGCTAGTTTTTAAGTCAATGACGCTCACTCCCACGCCCCACAAAGGGGAGGGCAGGGCTGTGATTTAAAGCAAATTAACTTTCCTAGAGAGCCAAAGGGGGTCCCGAGAACTAGAGGCGGGGCCAGTCTGCCTGGCGCCGTTACCCGGGGCCCCAGGGAGAGGCGGGGCGGGGCCGAGGCTGCTGGCCCGGGGGCCTGTGCGCAACTCTACTTTCCCTCCGCCCCGACCTGCTCCTGCCACCCGCGCGCCCCGCTCTCCCAGGCCGGCCAAGGGCGTCAACGCAGCCACTGCGGCGTCGGGGCGACGCGCGGATCCGACCGCACGCCGCTGACCTGCCAGGACCGAGCTCGAGCTCCCCGTGGCAAACTCTCGGAACCAACCCCCGCTAGGTGCGTTGCAATTCGTCCGACCGGCGCGCTGGGCCGCGAGAGGAACGTTCCGGCTTCAGGAAGGGCCGGCCTGGAACGGGGCAGGGAGTGGTGCCCGGCCCCCGGGGGGAGCTACACGGGGGTAACACAGGGAACACCTCTCCCTCCAGCCGCGCCCCGGCCGGGCTGACCCTGCGTCCAGCCCGTTACTGTACGAGGCGGTTGTCGTGTATCGGCCCCAGCCGGCAGCCCACAGGCGCTGCCCGAGCTACACGGGACCCTAGCACTGTCCGGACTGAGCTGCGGCCCAGCGCGGGGGCATGTGGTGTCCGCGCTCCTATCTCCCCGGGCCCTGCTCGGCCCGGGAGGAGACGACTCTGAACCTGGCCCCAGACCCCACTGGGCTGGACGCTTGCAACTGGCTATGGCAGGGGTATTGTGCTAGGCTCTGCAGCCTCCACTGCTGGCCGCCGTCAGCCAGAGACAGGACTTCGGCTTAGACGGACCCAGGGCCGAAGCCGCGGGACCGGCAGATCACCCCAGAAACGCTGCGTGAGCGCCCCCGCCCGCAGGCATGACACCGAAGGCCTCCTGACTGCCGTGCTTGGGGCGGCAAAAAAACATAGAGCCACCCCTGGATGGACGTTAAGGCGGGTCTAGCCTCGCACTTCCTTGGTTCCTGCCAGGGGAAACTGTCCCCAGACAGAGCTGTCCTCTCTCGTGGCCTCTGAACCTTTGTTCTATTTCACCCATTAAGTTCAAATCTGTCTGCGAGGAGGTAAGAGGAGTTAAGTGGCAGTTGCATAAAGACAAGTTCCAGCTTTACATGAAACACAAATCGCGCCATATCCCAAACCCCTGAAATAATTCAGCACCTGGTTGGTAAACTGCGTGAAACTAAACCCAGACAAGTCAGAGCTGCTGCGAAGAAGAGGGAACTATTTCAAATTATTTGTCACCACCACCATGGCAGATTTGATGAGTACAACACACAATATAGCTAGGAATTAAGAGACACTGAAAAGCTCTGCAACATGTGAAACTCTCCTATTAGGCACCATACATCATCATAAGCACAATCACCTTGGTGCTTTGGTAACTTCATTAGCTTCCAGTGAAATACCAGATTAAGTTTAATGTCCTGGTCTTGACCTTCAAAGCTGTCAAAAGGATTGGACAAGTGGTCTTCAATACTGCCATCAAGCTGTGCTCTGCAAGAACAAAAGTGAGACTAGTGGGAGCTGATACAGCAGCTGATAGTTAGCTGTGATACTCCCTTAAAAGAGCTAAAATTGGGACAAACCTTGCCACTGTCAGAATAAAATACAAGACATCTCTCTGCCATAACTTACAATACTAAGAAATATTTAATAAAAAAAATCCATGTGCTGGGCAAGGAGGTATTTATATCTATAATATTCTCTTGATTAGAGTTTGTAAGGCACCCCAATATTGACTGTCAAGTATCAGGGGGTAGCCGTGTTAGTCTGTATCTACAAAAACAACAAGGAGTCTGGTGGCACCTTAAAGACTAACAGATTTATTTGGGCATAAGCTTTCATGGGTAAAAACCTCACTTCTTCGGATGCATAGAGTGAAAGTTACAGATGCAGGCATTATATACTGACACATGGAGAGCAGGGAGTTACTTTGCAAGTGGAGAACCAGTGTTGACAGGGCCAATTCAATCAGGATGGATGTAGTCCACTCCCAATAATAGAGGAGGGGGTCTCATTTCAGGGAAAGGAAAACCTGTTTTTGTAATGAGCCAGCCACTCCCAGTCCCTATTCAAGCCCAGATTAATGGTGTTAAATTTGCAAATGAATTCACCACTGACCATCACATACAGCCCCCAGCTAAAACCTCTCCAGTGCATTA